TTTAACGCTTTTACTTGGTTCCATATGATTAGTAACATATTTAATTATAAAAGTACTATGAATGAAATTATTTTTGTAGTTTATATTGACTGAGTAACCAAAAGAAAATCAATTCCCTCGAGGAATGTTCCAATTTCTCCCTAGAGAATTTAAAAATGCAATCAGTGCCGATGTCAGCAATTGCTATAGGAAGCTTACGAAGTACTAAGTGTAGAAACAGCACTTTTTCTTTATTTTAAGGTGCTTCAAAACAAAGCATAAGCAAAACTCTTCACACCCTAATATTTATACATGATTCAATAAATCTCACCGAGCTGAATTACGAATATTACCTTTAAAAAATGATTTTTCGCTGGACTCTTAGAAATACGGAAGGAAGCTAATTTATTCGGATTCATTGTTAAAAAAGTAAGTATGAGTTTGTAAAAATATTGTTCCCTTGCTAAGATAATTCATTCTTTCGAAATCAGTGGACAACGGTTAATGAATTCTACATGTATTTCAATATTTGAACCTTAATGCTTGACTTTCCATGCAAACTAAGTATAATATTCTGAATTAGCATACAAAACTGCATCGATTAGCATATAGTTTGTCAAAAAAATATTTTTCATCGAAATTCAACCCGAGAGGGATTATATGGCAAAATTGATTAAAAAAGGAGATAACGGAGGTTTGGTCGAATTTCGATGAAAAATATTTTTTTCATAAATTATATGTTAATCGGTGCAGTTTTGTATGCTAATTCAGAATATTATACTTAATTTGCATGGAAAATTAAGCATTAAGATTCAAGTATTAATTGAAATACGAGTACAATTCATTAGTCTTTGCCCACTGATTTCGAAAGAATAGATTATATCAGCAAGGGACCAATATTTTTACAAACCCATACCAAATTTTTCTTTGCTTTTACTTGACTGTTCGAATGGTGTGGAAAGGTTGGAGAAATATTTTTAAACAAAAGACAAGATAGCTTTTAGGAGAACAATGGATCACTGTGTCGACTGACAGAACAAGCCGAGCTTACTGAGGAAGATATGAACGATGAGATATTCTTAAAACTACGCAGTTTTACTTACTTTTGTGAAATACGATCTAAAAGGAGTGTTGAAGTCTATAAGGGTACAAATTTAGACCTCCTCCTGGACGTGAGATATAACTGCATGTTATAGGCATATATTTTGTATGTCTTCACATATTCTGTCAAGTGGTTCGGAATAAAAACGAACACAGCGAAGGAATAAAATGAGTCTTTTAATATTTGGTATTGTGACGTAACTTCGCTGCGTTATCTTTCGCACAATTAATAAACTCTCACTGCATACTATTTCCACTTATTTTATTTCTTCATTATTTTGGTTATGATACATTTTTGTTTCATTCTTCTTTTCAAAACGATTTCTCAAGCAGAAAGTAAACATTTGCGAAGTAACACCAGACCCAGTGACTTATGACCACCCGCTATAATTACATACGATCATATTTACCCTCCTTTTAATCGTATTAGTCCAACAGTTTCTTTGCATACTACTACACCTTCTGAAGTACCATCTTCATCTACTTCCTCCATTCACGTGGATTCACATTCTTTTTTAAGCATCACTGAAACTACTGCTCTAGAAAAAAACTATCAAAGTTTACAGGAGATTATACACAGGAAGTTACCCAACTTATTGATGCAATCGAACGAATTAGAATATTTATTGAACTGAATGAATCCCTGTCACATGTAGTCACTACTATTAAATTAGAGGGATCATCATTTAATTGGTATGATAATAATAAAGAGATATTAAGATCAAGGCAAAGATTAAGAAGAGAATATGCTAAAATGGTTTAAACCATCTCTCTCTGCTGCTAAAACGCAATTGAAGGAACCAAACGACAGCTTGGCGACACGCTCCTAGCATATTATGATGTGATTGATATATGTAAACAAGTTGATAATGATATACCGTTACATATGATTGTTGATTACTTACAAGATCTTGTCCACAACGAATTAAAAGTACATTTTAAACGTCAACTGAAAGCACTCAAAGAGGAGCTCACATCAGCTATGTCTCTGAAGATCGTTCACGACGAGGAGAATTTACAAAACGGAATCTCTTCTTCTGAATATCAACAGCCATCATTTACCCCTCTGCAACCATATTTTGCCCGTTTTACCGTTGCCACTGGTAAACCTTTCCATGCATATAAAGCCACACTTCATTCGTCGAACGTATTCAATATTCATACTACTCGTAACACATTTGTTTCACGTTCATCAGTACAAACTAATCAGTATGATATATGCTCGATTTGTCACTGATAGAATCACTGTACTATCGATTGCTATAATAAACAACCGAGTGGTTGCCATAAATGCTGTAATAATAGTCATAATGTACGTGATTGTCTCCACGTGTTTCATTAAGCCTTCCCCCAAATCGATCTTAGCTCAGGAGAGTTCAAATTGTATGAAACTTACAGAATATGTCGGGTTTGGTATGGAGAGACTATGGTTAGATTTTCAGCCCTCTATCGTGATGTTTGGGTGAGATAAGGACCTGACAAGGTCCAAAAATAGCCTATTTGGCAACCCAAATTTCTCGGCCCAGGTTCATGCTACATCTTTAATTTTTTTGTTGGAAAGAGCATGTCAGAATGAAGGGCACCACAGAGTCTTTTTTTTTAAATTCTTACTTTTCAGTGGAAAGCAGGAATCGCTAGTTCAACGACTTGAAAAACCCCTAAAAACGGGGTTTTTTCTATAGAGATGCCTTGTTATATAGTCATAGAGAAGCGTGTTTTAAAAAAGGGCTCTGTAGTGCCCTGCATCTTGACGTGCTCTTTCCAACAAAAGAAATTTAAATACATCGCATGGACCTGGACTGAGAAATTTGGGCTGCGCGTTCGAAAAAGTATAAATCGAGAAAAAACGGAAAAGATTTTCGGTTTTTTCCGAAACAGCTTATTTTTCGAATAGGGAGATGTAAATCTTCAAAAAATTTTGGAAAAAATGAGGTAAGGAGTAAACATTTTGTCGTTTTTGAAAGATCAGTTTGCGGGCTATGTTCTCCGGCATTTATCTCAATTTACATCATTCTGACGAAAAGTGACTTTTTTTTGAAGGGGGAGGAGGCTTAACTGAGACTCTTGATAGCGGAGATCCCAGTAATTCCATGCCATCATTCCTCATCTCCATCAATCCTCCTTTTATTTGTGCTCAAGCCAATCGTACTCATCATAATATCCTTCTTGACACTGGCTCCGATATCACTATCATTCGTCGTCTTTTCTTGCAAGGCATACAATATAGCACATTTAAATCCATACGTAAATCCTATACTTTAACTCATTATACAGATACAGAGATAATCGGCGAAGTTCATCTTAAAATAAAAATCAATGATGTTTTTACATATATAACAGCTGTCATAGCTACGAATCTCGTCATCAATGTCTTAGTGTACACTGAATGAATCCGTCATTATGTCCTTTGTTTCGATATTTGTCAGCAACGATTAACCTTACAAGATCACAAAGGTCGTGCTACTACTACTGCTCAGCTCATTCAATCTATTACTATATCATATTCTTCTGTTCTACTCTTCAATCAACTTACAATCTCTCAATATTCCGAATGGACCATCAAAGCCACGATTCAAGTATCCAATAACTCAAATGTGTTATTTGAACCATCAAAAAGCTTTTATCAAAATCCAGTTTTACTTCCAAATGCTTTAGTTCAGGTAAAAAACTGTTGAGCACAATTAACGAGTATAAACACCACAGTCTATCCATACGCTCTATTTTCCAACATGTACCTCAGTACTATTTCTTCGTCATCATTCATTTGCACAGCAACATCGTTACAAAATCGTACATTGGTATAATAAATCGCTCATCACACATCATCGAGTTTCTAATCCATCACATCAATGTTATGTTTACTGTAACAGGCTTAGATAAAAAAACAACCTTTATCATCATCTTCGTACACAATGTTATCCACCTGAGCTCCGCCATTAAATCGAAACTTAAACCAAGCACATCGATCTCATCACACAAAGAAAGAAGATCCAGGACGTATTTTGAAAAGATCCTAAATTATTGACATTCGACAATCATCAAAAATCAGCATCACCCTCAATCATGTGATTGAAACTGACAATCATCGACCTATTTACACTGCAACTTACAAACCATCACCAAAAGATTATCAAACCATCGTCGAGAAGACTGATAATTTATTGAAACAACAAGGAATTGAACCATTAACTTTGTCTTGGTGCTCGCCTGTGATCTTAGTACGACAAAAAGACGTCAGCAGTCGGTTTGTGTGAACTATCGACAACTGAAGGATAGTACTTTTAATGATTAATTTCCGTTGCCTCGTATTGAATATATTTTTGATCAACTGTCACAATCAACATGTTATAAAACGCTTGACGTTAAAAACGGCTATTTTCAAATTTTACTAGCACTTAAAAATCGTCCTAAAACTGTATTTTCAATACATGATAATCATCATCAATTTACAGTTCTTCATCAACGTATAAAAAACGTTTCAACGAATTATCAATCGAATGCATGGTCCGATTCGATAGTGTCATTGTCTAGCTTGACTAGACGATGTTGTTATGAAATCCACAATAATCAAATTGTCTGCTGATGAACAAGCTGTTTTTGAACAGTTCAAACAAATTTCCCCACGCATCTTGCTCTTCGACTTCCAAACAGCCAACTTCCTTCTAAAATACAAACCGATGCTTTGCAACTCGGCATTGATGCTGTCTTACTGCAAACATACTCTGAAGGTGATGGTCCTGTATGTGACATACCTAATAAATCCACACCAGCTCAAGAACGTTGGCAACGATTGAACAAGAATTTTATGCGATCATGAAAACTGTAACAAAACTCAAGTGAATAATAAATGTGAACGTTGGTGCTTAAAACCACAATCGTAGGACTTTATAATTAAATATATAATAGGTACCGCGACCACTATGCTAGACTATTTATTTCTATCATCAATTGATCAAGCTGAAGGCGATCTTAATGGTGAAGTTAGTGAAAATTCAAATACCACCGCTACTGAAACTAATATATCTTATAGCAATGTTTTCCCACTATATTCGATTGCTACCATGGTAACCACTCGCTGTCGTGCAAGACAATTATCACATACTGGCAACTACATCACTTTCAGACCAACCGATGATGACTCAAACCCAACACATCCACAATCAACTTCGTTCATTCCTGCAGTTTTTGTCGATGACTCACGAATTGAATATACTGATGAACTCAACAAATTGAAAGAAGCACAACATCGGGATGCTGATTTACAACATAGTAGACGACCTTATAAATCATAGGTACATCAATTCTTAATTTCTGCAAGATGATCTCTTGATGCCTCCTGAAGCTCATATGAAAGTGGTTCCATGTGTACCGAAATGAAAAATTCGTCGTAATATTATGAAAACTTATCATGATACTCTAGAAAACGGCGCACACTTCAGCCGAGGCAAAACCATCCATAAAATCAACGCTCAGTATTATTGCAATACCATGAGCAGTGATATCAGTAATTATATTGAATCATGCATTCCTTGCAATCAAAACAATTCCAT